GCCAGAAGCCCAATATTTGCTTAGGTTTATCGGTTCATCCAGAAGCCCAATAATGTCCAGCCCGGTGCACTTGACAGTTAAAAACTTAAAATGGGCCCTTTATCTTAAATTTATTTTCTTCGTCAGACATTTCTAAACTTCTGGACCGATGTTTGGATGAAATTGGAAATTTGTAATGGAGCGAGCAACACAACACAAAATTTTGGAATGAATTTACTTCGGCGCCGGAGATGATGTTCGCACAATCCGATGGTCGTCAGGAGCCGCTACCATGTTCCAGCTCGATTGCTCGCTGTACGGTGTCTTGTATCTCAGTCTTCCTCACTCAGTTAGCCCTCTGTGCAGTTCCTCTCTTCTTTACTGCCTCCCCGCTTCTCTTCCAGCTCCCGCTCTCAGGTCATCCTCCATTCCTATCTGTGGGTTTCTCCTTTCTCAGAGATAAGAAAATAGTTGATTGAATTTGAGTTTTTCTATATTTTTTGGTTGAAGCTCTGCTGCTTCTGCTGGTTCTGGGATTTGGTGGATGGTTTAGGAGGCTCCTTGGAATTCATGCATCGGCACCAGCTTTTGTTTTCTTCAGTATAATCTTTACCTGGGGTGTTTATATCTTCATTATTCGCAAAGGTGATTGGTCTATATGCCTTTTCTTTTGTCATTATTGTTGAATTGAATTTATTTCTTGTTTTTGAGCAATTACGTTGTTTATGATAGAAACTTCTTCCCTAATTTGCAGCGATTTCACGCTTTATGGACATTGCGTTCAATGCAGAAGTTGTAATTCTAATAATTGGTTTGTTTAGGTTGTTCTTTTCTGCTCTCTTCACCTATAAAACCTGTTAATTTTGTTTGGATGCATTGTCCCGTAGAGTTCATCTGTCTGATAAGTTAATAATGTTGTTCTTAATAGCAGAATCATGTCAAAGGATCCAGGTTTCGTGGTGCATCAATCTTCTTGTTCCTCCAATGAAGTTGATGATATCTCGGTTGTGGGATTTGAAGATCAGAATGAGGTTGTATGGTGTTGAGTGTGTGTGTGTGTGTTTTTTTAATTCTTTATATATACTTCTATTATACACAAATGTATTGTGTCAACTTGTATGGAAAGCTGAAACTATAAGGGGGTTTGTGTTTTTAACCTTGAAGTTCTTCAAAATGTATTTAGCAAGTTAAGACATGCTGCCATTCTAATGATTGTTGTTTGGGAAGTACTGAACTTTCCTCAATAGAGTTTTATCAATAACTTTGTCCAGAACATGGATTCTTCCTTCGCTCCCATTTCGTTGTTGTTTCTTTTGAATATTGTTCTTAATACTGTTTTCCTTCTAAATTTTCCATTTGCAGCACAGGGTAAGATACTGCAAGAGCTGTAGAGCATATGTGAAGGGGTTTGATCATCATTGTCCAGCCTTTGGTAACTGTATAGGTAATGAAAATTAAAACATTTTTTCTGTGTGCTCTTGAATTTATCTTAAAACTTGAATAAATTATCTTAAACTGTGAATTACTGAATTATTTTTTGGAGGATGATGATCTTTAAATGTTTCTATGTGCTCTTGAATTTGTCTTAAAACTTGAAGATATCATCTTAAACTGTGACTAGCTGAATTAAATTTGGTGGATGATGATCTTTAAATGTTATTGCACAGGCCAGAGTAATCATGCTCTCTTCATGGTTCTTCTTCTTGGATTTCTTACTACTGAAGCTTCTTATATTGTCTGCGCATCACAGTGTAAGCATAGAACTGGCCATACCTGATATATATATGCTCAATGTTGGTTTTGGTGCCTTCCATTGCGTGATTGTAAAGAATGGATGATCTTTATATTCAAAGGCTACCCTGTGTCTAGGACTGCTTCCTTTTACAGTTTTCATTTCTTTTGTTTGCATATTGTGGAACTGATATGCAGTTACCAGACAACCACTGGTTTTGGAAGGAATTCAGTTGGAGGTAGGTTTTTGGGCTTCTAGCTTAATCTCTTGACTCTTCTTTGCATAAGCTATTAATCTCAATATTTTATGAACTTTTTCAATAGGCTAATCCCTCTGCAATATTGGCAAAGAGCACTATGATATTCTCCGTTCTCCAAGTGTTATGGCAGGTATTTTGTGTTTGCTCACAAGTATGCATGTAACTGCATTAAATGATTTTTAGCTCCACGTGAAAACATCTGACCTGAACTTTTTTTCTGTATGTACAGGGATTGTTTCTCGCATGGCATGTATATTGTGTATGCTTCAATATCAGAACTGATGAGTGGGTGAGTTCCTTAATAAGAAACCACAGGGAAGAGTTACTTAGGTCATCAAGCATACCTTGTTTTCAACTCTTTTATTAGTTTGCCACATCAATAATTTGAACTAGGATGTTTTTTCCTTTCTTCCCCAGGTAAATTGGAAGAAGTACCCAGAGTTTCAAATGAGTGCTTCATCCCAATCTGGTAATTATATGACATAGAACCAGTTTTCTTTTTTATTTCAAAATATCTATACTGTTCCGTGGCATTTACTTCTGTTGGTTGTTTGGTCCTGTCCAGGGGAAAATCATGTCAGGATGAGATTTATAAATCCATATGATAAAGGGATTGTGGATAATGTGAAAGAATTCTTAACATTAAATGTATAAAAATGTTAATTGATAAACTAGAGTTAAGAGAGTTGATGTAAATTTCAGGTAAGCAATGATTTTGCCCAATTCTGGAATGAACTCTTGTATACGCATTAGATGACCAAGAGAGAACAACAGTCAATTATTTAGGGTATTTTATTCTATTGCTTTTGCTTGAATGCTTGCTCTAGCACAAACACATGGGAGACAAACAGAGAAACGTACTGATAGAATGAGATTATTATTCTTTTTTAGCCTAAGATCTCAATGGGTTTGATCTCAGGTATCTTTGCCCCCTCCTTAGGAAGAGCGATAATGAGCACACCATTCTCCATGGCAGCCTTAACCTGATCCACCTTTGCATTCTTCAGCAACCTGAACCTCCTCAGGAACTTGCCACTGCTCCTCTCAACCCAGTGCCACTAATCATTTTTCTCCTCTCTCCACTGATCTGAAGAATCTTCCCTTGTTTGACTTTTCAACTTTCACCTCTTCTTTCTTCAGCTCTGGAAGGTCAGCCTTGAAGATATGTGCTTCCGGAATCTCTTTCTAGTCAATCCTAGCATTGACAAAAGTTAATGTTTCCTGTGCTGAAGAGGGCACGTTGACAAGTGAAGAGTTGAAGAAACCATCAAATGAATCCCTTATGTCCAGAGAAAATGGATCGACGATTTTAATTCTTCAACCACCAAGAACGCTTGGGATGAGCGACATGATTGAAAACCTTGAAGGGAAAGAGGATAGCATTGCTTTGATTCTTTTAACCATGGATATGCGAGGAGATGAGCAAGCTATATATAAAAGAGTATAAGTGAGGGTTGTGGGTTTCCATTATTCGGAGACTGGAAAAGAAAAGTCTGGTAACTTCTTGTGTGCTAATTATGCCGTTAGCTGGTGGACAAGAAAGTTCATTGTTTGCAAACTTCTACCGCCTTCTACACTGCTTAGTCTACCGAGGAGAAACTTTGCTCTAATTTAGTCACTAGAAGGAATAGAAGTGGTTGGACGGGCTATGCTTAGGGCCACTATAAAATTTGTTAATGTCATAAAAAATTATCAAGTTTTTATGTTAATTTAAATATTAAAAATAATTAAAAATTAATAAAATAATTAATATTTATTACTTAATAAATTAAAAATATAT